ACTGCAGTTTGAAGAAACAACTTTAAATGAAGTATATTTTACTGTAAAATAAAATTTGGTGATAAGCATACATAATGTTATTTGTGATGCACTAATCTTTAAATTACCTTGGAGAAGTGACATGTATATAGATATTCTAAAGGATTGTTTTTCTATTTTAAAATGTATTGCATCCAATTTAATGAATGTATGAAAAGCATATGTACAAAATATGAAAAGGATATTAACATCGAACATTTTAAAGATGAAATTGTTCATTTTATTGCATTCATAAAAAGGAAAATGTCGTTAGTCCTGTCGACATGTACAAATTGCTAGTTTCAGGTTATTACAATCTACATTTCTGAGTATAGAAATAGCTTTCTAAAAATATGTTTGGCAATTTCTAATTGCAGTTCAAATGATAAGCAATCATTATCCATTCTCAAGAGATTTAAAAAGTTACTTAAAAAATTCCTTATCTGAGTTGCATTTAAGTCAGTTTTCAATATGTTTATTAGATTATGAATTTCTAATTGATAAATGTTTTATAGTAAGAAAAATTCGTATTTATTTATTTATATTCCATATTAAAACCAAACAACATCATTTTCTATAAACATCACTGACAATAACTGTCAATTAATATAAATTAGTATTGTCAATCTTTATCTGTTATTATTATATGACAGCACTGCTTTAGGAAAAAAGTTGGTTATTGTTAGTATTATATTACAATATGTTTTTAATGTTTAATAAATAGACTTATAACTATATTTTTAATCAACAAATCGTATTTTCAAATAAAACATATATGTATTTGTATTACTCTTACTTCTTATTAGTATTCTAGACTGTATGCTATAATAAAATCACATGTATGGTATGCATGCCATAGTCATACTGAAAATATTTAAAGAAGCCTCAAAATTGAATTGCACTGGGGACATCTCAAGTGCTGAATTCATCACTGTCCACATTAGCAGAAATACACATCTGGACTTAAGCTAGAGCTTGCTGGTTGTTTTTCAGCATTTCAGATGTTATTTTCTTGCTTACTTGGATGATACAGGTTTACAGATTCTAATTATAACCCCACCAAAAGTCCAGGGAAGATTGGCCAGTTTCCTTAGTGGCTATTTCCACATTATCTCCATAACCAATGATTCTTTGCTCCAAATTGTGTAACTAGTTCCACATTGACACTAGCTGGTGGAGCACCATTATGCTTGAACCACATAGAATGCAGATGGACTAATGGCAAATCATTAAGAAATTAGGTACAGTAGTTTGTAATAGCTCCAAGAGGTTTTGTTCAGTTAAGCATCCATTTAGCACACAGATATTATGATGAGGTACATGCTCTAAATCCCACCTGACACTGAGGGACCACTGAATCTGATAATGAACATCTTGTTATCATGATAGATTTTCAAGTGACAGTAATATGAGTTGTCACTTTGTCCCACTGTGATCAAATTTCACTCACCCATCGTCATAATGTTAGCCAGAACATTTGTATAACTAGTGTGTTGCCCAGCCAATATAGTACCTAATGACACTGACTGTCTTACTAGTGGGCTGGAGTTCAAATCCCGAAGGCATGAATGTTTGTAAGACTATCTAACATCTGTGTGGCAAGGGAGCACTCATGATACACGGCAAGCAAAGTCCTCTTGAGAGGTTTGTGGTAGGGAAAAACAATTAGGAGACTCTTGAACCGCCGCCCCCCTCCAGTTTGTTCCTACTCAAAACTGGGGTGGAAATTTTACCGAAAGTTAACACCCAGATATACCTAAGATAACCTATGGGAATGCACTTGTGCCAGCCTTGCTTCAATCTGTACTTGCATAATCAATATGTTTATTACAAAGTTCCACAAGTTGTACCATTTCTGATAATCTGTTAGCTTGTGTCAGTTTTACAGTGTAAGGGGTAAGCTCACAATTCTTGCGAACTTTGTCTCGCATCTCTTATAATTTCAGTATTATTGGTCTAGTACATAAACCAAGATGTGCACTTGCTGCAAGCATCAGCTTGCCTATATGAGGATGACTTATAATGCTTCCTGTTTCTCTAAGCTGATGAACATTGTCAGTGTCAGTAGCCTCAGTAGGATGAGAAATATTATGGGAACAGTGCTTACTGTCATTATTTTTGCCTGATCATTACACTCTGTACAAGAGAACCATCTTACAGTATTCTTCATTGGGAATAGCTAGACCTATTTAGACTAAAGAATCAGTTACTCTGACAAATTTTTCCTAATTGCCAGTTTATCCTTCCTGTTGAGCCATGACATAGCATTTCAGATTGCATAATACCATCTAAACATTATTATTTAGAAGCAAAATTCCATTTCAGTGCTTTGTTTTGTCATAACTGGTATGTTTTTGCCTATGAATGGATACCAAAAGATCTGCATTTTAATGCTTTTATTGAAATTATACGTAAGTAGACATGAGTTCATCATAAATTGGTGATGCTTTCCATTTTTACTTTAGACATTTTCACTCTTGTCTCATAGTTTTCAAACTTCCAAAATTAACCTTTAGAAGTACTGTAATTACTTTTCCATAACAGAGCATAATCACTTTAGTATAATCACTTAGGTAGACAATATCTCCACAACTAGCTTTGTGCATTCAAAAGTTATTTTGGTGTTTAAAGACTTTATTATACACCCAATATGTGTACAATAATTACAAAAAGGTACATATTACTTAGCAAAAGCATTTTCTTCTAAAAATTAAATAATGTACTTATAATTGATGGTGGGCTCCCTTTTGTTTTTGGTGACCACCATTTTTAGACCCAGACAGCCTCTGTTTGTCAGTAATATTGGTTATCAATAGCATATTGTATTTTAAATATTTTAGTTTGGCTGTATTGATACATTTAAAGTAATTATGATTAAATCAATTTGCACGTTCCGCTGAATGTATACAACTCACCAAAGATAGAGTATATTGACAACTATAAAACTTAAATCTTATTTATTAAAAATGATTAAAAGCAGTTTATACATAACCATTAAGTAACATAAATTACCATGTTTGCCAGTTTTTTTAATATAAAAATATTGAATTTTTTCAAATTTACGTCAGATTTCTAAAAATTTTAAGAAGATGGAATAATGACTTCCCGTATTATACAACAATTCTTATGGTATATGATCACTTCTGACAGAAATTCAATCCTCACATCTTGATTTCATAGAATTGGCAAACTTGATAAAGTCTTGGGAAATCGCATGTCTCTTCGGAAAGTGAACTTTTCAGATTCTGGGTGTGTCCAGTGAAACGTTTATCATGCTGCAGTGCAGCTCAGTAGCCTATGATATCCCAAGCATGTTATATGGGATTCAGCTCTGGTGAGCAAGCTGACGAACACGTTCTAGCAGTATACCGTATTTGACGGCATATAAGACGCCCTTTTTCTCTTAAATTTGGTCTCCAAAAAGTTACCTGTGTCTTATACGTGAAGGTAATTGTATTCAATAATTGTTTATTTGGCTTTTACGAAATGTGAGAACTAAAAGAAACCACGCTATTGAAACTTTTTTTCCTTGTGTGTGGCCATCTAAATAAGGGTGCGTCTTATATGCCGTCAAATACGGTATGTGTTCCAAGCATTCTGACACCAAAGATATTCGATACAGGTGAACATTGTCATCTATTCTCAAAACATATGGGCCAACAGTACCACTAATCAGTCTTACATAAGCTTCCAAGGCTTCATAGACATACTAGCATCTGTGACTGGTTACAGAACCTGCATAAAAAATATGCAGCTCAGTATGACCTTTTTTGATGATTCTGCCCCAATCCTAAAATTTCTGCCATAGAAACAGGATCTTTCATGCATGAGGGAAGGAAAGTAGCATGTTCCTTGTTCCCTTCAGAATAAAGACTATATAGATGCATAATTCAAGGTGTATTTGGACTTGTCAGTCAATAATACACATTTTCAATCCTTTTGGTTTTATTGAACATGGAAAAATTAAGTTGCTGGAACACAAATCATTGGTTTTCTTGCTTAGAGTCTTACGTCGGAAAGCCTCTATGCAGTGGTAAAACAGCCGATTCAAGTTCCTGCTACTGAAGGTGTAAAATGAACTCTCTTGTAGTTGCTACATGTATCTTGAAGCTGATAATAACAGAAAATGGTTTTCAGATCCAGTTGTTGCTCTTGATTGTCGTTGACCAGGCTATCAACAAACTGACTTGCTATTTAAAATGCTGTTGTTCCAAGTTCTTCACATGACACTTTCAGAAACATTCAAATCTTGGGCAGCCTTCATTTGTGGTTGCCCTTGCTTAACACTACTAATTAATTGCCAATTTTGCCCTTTGTTTAAATGATGTCTTTGATTCATAACTAATGAACACTGATTACTGAAAATGATTAAAAGCAGTTTATACATAACCGTTAAGTAACATAAATTACCATGTTAAACAGCACTATACTCATTAACTTTAAACAGCACTATACACCCAAATTCCAACATGCATCAATTGCCCAACACATTGTCAGTCACCTAGTTTGCGTATTTCATTCTCAAACCTTTGTACAAAAGTCCAATTTTGCATTCATTTGCAGATCAAATAATTACATAATTGTTGAAGACTTATCTAGAGAGCATATTTCTTCAGATTATCTTTTAATTTTGAACGACAAGGACAGAGAAAAGTAGACGAAGCACCAGAAATTTGCATATGCTCGTACAGTTATTGCTCTGTCGGGCTACTGTACAAATTTTGAAGGACAATGTATTTAATATTATTGTTGTGGATTTCTTCAAGTACAGATGTTTTATTTGAAAATTATTGCATATCTTTATGAATTCTTAATGACATTGCATGCACTTTGTGCAAATATAACCAAACATCATTCTGTGCACTACTTTAATTACTACATGTATTTTTACCACCATTATGTTTCCCCTTTAAAATACTTTTTTGAAAATTGTATTTTCTTAATATAAGATTAATGCTATTTGTGGGCCCCCTTTTTTTTAGGCCTACGTTAAAATATTCCAGTGTGGTGAACTTCCTGAACCAAAAACTATGCTTGTGGTGAGTGATGTGTTCTGTGTTTTTTTTTTTTTTTTTTTTCTGTATGAACATTTAATTTGATGTAGTTTGCTGAAAATTTTAAAAGGTTCCTAATATATATGTTATGTTTAATTAAATAAAAATATGTTATTAAATAAATAATAGTTTTGCATTTAATACTTAGAGAAACCGAGCATAACACTCGTGAATTTCATAATAAGGAAACAAGCATAACACTCGTATATTAAATCATACAAAGAGGGAAATGCAATTATAAGAATTTTAATGCACTAAATTCAAAAGTTTTAGGGATTCTAAAGTTGTTGGATATTAATTGAGAATTAAATTTACTATAAGTTGAAATTCTGAAAAGTGAAAAGCAGGAAATGAACACATATTAAATAAATAAAGACTTATCTGGCTCAATTTGTAATCAAGGGGACACTCCAGTAAATATAAATCTTCCTTCATGTAACAACTGTTAAGTCACTACATGTAATCCATTGTAAATTATGTATAATAAGTTAAAATAAGTATTGTTAATTATTTTGCAATAAAATGCAACAAAAGCAATGGTAAATTTCACTCAAGCATTGTTGGATAACTTATTTTATGCAGATATAAGTTTTGTAAATAAGTCCTCAGCACTATAATTAAAGTTTTATTATATTTCTATATATGATGTTAATGAGAAAGTCTCCGCAATTTTGCAACTTCAGAATATTATCTCATTTTTCATAATTTTGCCATTAAATGTTTTTTGCCGTGTTCTTTAAAAGCAGTCTGCTTTAACAGAGCAGCACAAAAAGCACTATCTCTGGTGAAAGTACATGTTTTAAGGGTTAAGAGTAAATATTAGGTTGATTGATGTAATCAATTTAAGTGTTAAGAGTAAATAATTAGGTTGATTGATGTAATCAATCATTTGTTATTTGATTGATGTAATCAATCAAATATACACTGAAATTTTCTGTGTATTAAACAATAAGATAACAATCCTGTGCTTCTTGCTGAAGGTTCATGTGTAATACAAATACGAACCAATTTTCCTTAGAAAAAAATCATCTGCAAAAGCATTTGTCTACTTATGTAACTCTGTGTTTCTCTGCTATACTTAATTTGGTAAACAATCATTTTAAAGGAACCGTAACTAAGAAGCTAAACAATAAATTTATGAACTAGAGATGAGTTGAATGACTGAAAATATCCAGGTACCTACTGTACCTAAAAATAAACTTTATTATGAAATTTACTAACATGAAATTGATCTCTTTTGCTTTTAAAATGGTTTTCATTATAAGGGGAAGATCAGTGTTTTTGATTTTAAAATTATTTTTCCTGGCATTACTTTTTGTTCTTCTATGAGAACATAAGTCAGATCCACTATTCATGACAGGCAATTATTTGCTTAGTTTATAACTGTCTTCTAATTAGGATTTGGGGATTTTGATTTCAAGTTTAATCATGTTTTTAATCATTAATTAAACTCAGATATTCTTGGGTTTCATTAAGTGAAGAGAAATGTGTTAAAAATCAGTGATTAAGATGGCATGTGATGCTGTTAAAAGAAATTTTAATTACTGAATTTAAGAAAAGAAAGAAAGAGGAGCTCTTTAAGGAATTAAAATCATCTGAATTATTTTAAACAAGCCATGTAAATGTAATGCAAGAAAGTGTTCAGCATTACTTTGGAATTATTCATTTGTGCTGCACCTTTCTGCTGAATCCTTTTTGAAAATGAAGCAATCAAGTTAGTGACCACACATCAACAGTGAAAATCAATAGCTCTTGTGAAAGAAAGCTTAGGAGATATAGAAATGGATATCATTAAAATTTTAAACGCAACAAAATCTTCATCAGCAAGGATTGAAAGAATGTAAGATTTGTACGCAACAAAATCTTCATCAGCAAGGATTGAAAGAATGTAAGATTTGTACGCAACAAATTGGGAAATCAATTAGTGGTTGAAAAGGCAACAAAACCTTTTTATTTTGTATGTTTGAAGCATTGACTGCAAATGTCAGTAATATAGATATATGATAAAGGATTTTGAAAATTTTATGTAGATTGCAGATATATGTGACATTTCTATGGTTATATATATGTATTCTTAGTTCTTTGTATTTATATAAAATACAAGAGTGTTTTTTGTTTAAAAAGTGCAAGTTACTAACATCTAAAAGATGCCAGGATATTTTATTCTTTTATACAACTAATTAATAAAGTTATACTTAATTTACATTACCTCAATATTCTATTAATTTACATGTATAATATGTAACATGCTTAAAATCATCTGATTAAAGATTTAATTACTTTGGAACCTTGTGTGTCTGGTAAAAATTTAAGTTAGTGTAAGGTAGAGAGAAAATATAAATTTTTATTTTTAAAAAATCATGATTTTTGTACCCTGCTTTTAACTGGCTGTGAAAAATTAGTTTTTGTATCTCTTAAAGTGAGTCAATTTTTTTCACTACATTGTATCAAATAATCCTTGCTCAAATTTTGTTTTTTAAGGTGTCTTTTCCCTAATAAAGGAAAAGACTTTTGCTAATTTGCAGTTTTATAATTGGTAGTGATAGAGTAGTCTAAAAACATCTTTATAATCTTTTAGCATTATGATGTTTGTCAAAGGAACTAAAGAGCTTAGCTGTAAAAAATCCAAACACTGTGCTGGCAAATTTAACAGCTGGCATTTTCTCTAAGATAACTTTCCTGATTTCCTTCAAACTTAAGACTTACTCTCCTAGGACACTGACTTACGGAAATTTCACACTGCATAGATGCCTGTTACTTTACTGTCAAATGGAAACAGACTTTATGAAACTTGTAGCATTTCTGTAGCATTTGATTCTGTAGCACAACAGCTTGTCTGAATTTAATTGATCTTCCGGATTGTGTTTTGTTGTTGGTCATAAATATTTCTATTTCATAAGCATTTTTCTTGGCAGTAGCCAGAGGCAGCAGAAACAAAACATGGATTTCCTATACTTTTTTGTTGGTAAGAAATAAACTTATTACTCTAGAGTTTATTTCATTTTGTCTGACAAGCTGCGAAAGGGTAGTTATCTCTGGCAGTTGAAACAGGCTGGCTGTGCAAGGTTGTCATGTATTATTTTATCGTGTGTAATGTAAATATGGGCCTGTTCCCCCTAAATAATCTCTCATGATGGCATTCCTGCCTTTAGGTTAATAATAATAATGATGTGCTTTCTCATAATCCTATCCAGTCTGTCAAACTTCATTGAGCATCAGAAGACTTTTAAAATGTTGCTGGTTAATCTAACAAGTATGGGCTAAATCTACATGCTTGAATATGCATAAATTAAAAACATCCTTGTTTAGCAAACACTTAGAACACGATCTCATTGCATTGCTGCTTATAATAACTCAATTTAACTATAAATGTGATTTTATAATTGCAAAATGAGGAATATGTAGTATTATCTCTTCAGAACTTTTATTTTATATTTATCCTAACTTAGCTGAAATTTTTATTTTATCAGAAATCTGATATCCTAACTTAGCTGAAACTTATTTTATTTGAAATCTGCTTTTTTTCATCCCCATTTCATTACTGTATGCACATTAGTGCATATATTCATTTTTAGAAAGTTTTCTTCTATTGAATTATGACTATTATTTATTTTATTTGTTAGAACTAACAATACCACATTTCTTCCATATTGTAATTATAGAAATTTCATGAACTTAAATTATTTTCTCTTTCTTTTCTAAAATTTATTTAAATTTATTCTCATCGTTATCTTGTTTGCTTAAAGTAATATACTATGCACAAGAAACAATAATCTGTTTGTAAGTAATTGCAAAATTATACTTATTTAATTTACAATAGTAAAAAGCTTGATGCATTTGAAGATATTGAAAATCAGTCATTTTGAGAAGGAAAAAGTATTTCTTTGAGCATAATTCTCTAGGTTTGAGTCTGTTAAATAGTTTTTTAAGTATGATAATAAATTTCTAACTATATGTAAAAATTATAAATTACTGATATATTATAGTTTAATGTAATCTTTTTAATTATTTTTAAAACTTAAATTTCCAATTCACTGTAATGCATAATCACATGTAGCATTTTATTTATTTATGTATTTTCTCTAAGGCCACTGCTGAAGCTAACAATCTTGCAGCTGTGACGAATGCTAAAGATCATTACTGTAATGCAATGGAAAAGGTAAATGACTTAATTCCTGTTTAAAAATATTCAAAAGTTATCTCACATGATGCTTTTTTGCAGTTATTTAATGGGGGTAAGAATGCTTTAATTTTTATAGTTTTTAAATTAAAGGAACTGTTTTTTTATTGTTGTTGGGGTGGGCTTTGTCTATGTTACTAACGTTCCTGTATTAATTATTAGATGTTATATTTTCTTCATTAAAAAATTGCTTCATTCCTTTTTTCTTTCTGTAATTTTCCAGAGATGCTTGTGATCATTTTTATACATTTAACTAAAATATTACATTAGAAACATTTAATGTACGAGGGTTTTTTTTCATTTAATTTGTCATTATAAAAATATCATTTCTAAGTTTTTTGTAGTTTTATTGCAGACCCCTTCTCCATCCAGGAGCATTTTTAGAGTATGTGATACTGTATTTGCTTTAAGCATATCCATGATTTGAAATTAAAGAAAATCAGTGTTATTTCCTTCAGCATTCGTACAATTTAAATTTCGTTTATTGTTGTGAAAAATATATCTACATTCTTATATTGAACACATAAAAGTGTAGATATATTTTTCTGCACCTTTTCTGATATTTATAGTTATTTTCTTCCCTCGTAGTATGCTGAACTTTTGTTACAGTTAGAAAGTATGCTTTACCCATGCATAAATACAGTGATCAATGCTTCATGTGACTAATTTATGTTCTCATTCAGGTAATGTAAATGGATTAGAAAAATATAGGTTATTTATATAGCAAATTGTCAGTAAAGCTGTGGGTTGATCTTTACATTATGGTAACTTGGCGATTTTTGGCGAAAATTTGGCGACCAACTCTCCTACAGCAACCTTCTATTTTTTTTTTTTTTCTTTTTTTTTTTTTTTTTTTTTTTTTTTTTTTTGTTTTTTTTTTTTTTTTTTTTTTTTTTTTTTTTTTTTTTTTTTTTTTTATTTTTTTTTATTTTTTTTTTTTTTCCCGCCGCCATTTTGTCTTCACGAAGTAAAGACATGTTTCTTTTCTTTTCTTTTTATCTACTGAACACTTCTTCAACAACAATCTACTAGCCGAATTACACTTATGCTAGAAATTTTATCTAACAAAACTGCTTAATCATGACAAATATTCACTGCAAAATTGGGAAAAAGTGCACAATACCATACTCCTTACGCGTTTTTTAAAATAACACATACACATAAGCCATGTACACGCCGACTTATTTTTACTTAAAAAAACATCCCAGAATTGCACAAAAATGGCATTGCGCACACTCCTCACTATATCGATGTACACTGCTTTTTTCTCATAAATTAGAAAAATTTCACGAAAATACATGACAATTTTCTCAATCTTTAAACCCAGTAAAAAGAACATATATGAAATTACCTAATCGCGAAAAAGTATTTACCCTTTCCAAATATGAACATTTCCACATATAAAATAAATAAAATATCCAAAAACTTTTACCTCTAAATCATCTATTACATTATACACGTCACCAACAAATTCATACCGCAAGCATTAGAAATACTTAGTATCAAATATTTAAATTATTTCCATGCACGTTTACTTCAACTTAAACGTATACCAAATTCCTACAAACATAAAATTCACAAAATAACTATCATTTAATTAAAATATCACTAAACCATGTACACGCTGACTTATTTTTACTTAAAAAAACATCCCAGAATTGCACAAAAAATGGCATTGCGCACACTCTTCACTATATCCATGTACACTGCTTTTTTCTCATAAATTAGAAAAATTTCACGAAAATACATGACAATTTTCTCAATCTTTAAACCCGGTAAAAAGAACATATATGAAATTACCTGATCGCGAAAAAGTATTTACCCTTTCCAAATATAAACATTTCCACATATAAAATAAATAAAATATCCAAAAACGTTTACCTCTAAATCATCTATTACATTATACACGTCACCAATGAATTCATACCGCAACCATTACAAATACGTAGTGTCAGATATTTAAATTATTTCCATGCACGTTTACTTCAACTAAAACGTATACCAAATTCCTACAAACATAAAATTCACAAAATAATTATCATTTAATTAAAATATAATTAAATTCAAAAACACTACTTAAAATATAAATGAGCACATACATTAAATTAATAAAAATTACCTTACAATCCTAATTACTTTAAACTAAATCATTGCTAATAACAATTTTCCCAATAATACCAAATTCCTTTACTTCCACCTTACATTTAGAACAATGCATAAAAAAATATCCTCAAATAATTAAAAATACTAACTTACATAATCTTCTTCAGAATCTTGATTACGTGTCCGATAAACTTTTCTTCTTTCTGTTTCAGGATCTTTAAAATCATACTTATATTTCACAGCAAGGTACCAGGTAAAATAAATAACTTAATAAAACATCTTTATTTCTATCTCGCACAACCTTAAAGAAACATTTATTACTACCCTTTTCAATACCACTAAATACCCATTTCAAATTCACTTTAGTTACGGCCATGGGATCCAAAAATTCACGAACACTGTTTCACACAAACACAGAAGCTAAAGCCAAAATGCTAAACGCAATAAAAATTTCCAGATTTTTTCCCGATTTTCCCCCCTTCCCCCATTTTTCCGATTAAAGAACCGTAATTCGTCCATTAATATCACATGACATATCCCATGATCTCTCATTTCCCTCACACAAAATAATGCGTAATCGGAACTGAGTACTGCTCACATTATTACCAAAGTCCCAGGTAGTAACCTTTATCGCCTCCAAAATGTCGCCAAACTACCAGTTACCATATTGTAAAGACCAACCAAGCTGTGTGTTAGCATAATCATTTGCCCCACTCCTGCCAGTTTGAAGAGTTGAATCTTAAAAATATCTAAAAATTTTAAGAAATTCAGTCAATTTTAAAGCTTTGATTCGATAAAAATTTGTGCATATTATGTTTCATTAATGAACAGAAAGGTGAAGGATGGCTAAAAAAAAAATGGATAAACATGGCTTTGTTGCAGTAGGTGGATGATTTACTCATTGGGAAAAGTGAGAAAGTATCATTAGCTTTTTAGCATTTCAAGAAGTGTAAAATATTTGCTGCAATATTTCATGTCTTAAAGTCTGTATTTTGTAGTAATTTGACTATGATATTGCTAATAAATCATTGGCAAAATACATTGTTGTCCAAAATTATCTTTGCAGGAACTAAAGAACTGATTTCTTAAAAACTGTTGCAAAGGATTGAATAAAATTATTTTGGGTGATACATATAAGTTCATAAGACATATAAATGCAATCTGAAAAAAAAATTGAAGGTAAATGCTTGTAATTTAAACTGTATCATAAAATGCAGAAAATTTAAATAATCTGTGACAAAAATTGTATAAAATGGGAATGCTTCAGAAATAAATGCAGGTTTTTGACATTAACATTGAGTGTGGTCTTCTGTAACTTGCTACGTGTATGTCATGCATATCACAATGTGATTTATACTATCATTAAGATGGTAAATTTGAGGGTAGAGTTTGTAGGAGTAAGCTGCACTCCTGTACTAATGTAGTTTTCCAGACACTAAGATATGTAGAACCTTGTCATGCATCAGCTCTTCCAAAAGTATCCCATAAGTTTTCTATGTGATTCAAATCAGGAAATTTGACTACCAAGTTTTTTCAGTGAACGTCTACGAAATTCATCATCTCTAAAAATTTTATGTAAGGCTGTATGTTATTCTGATGTGACTGGATGGTCACATATCCTATCTCAAACTTGTCTCTAGAAGTATAACCAATAACTATTATTCTTCCTCTTACAATCATATATACACCAGGAGCTTAAAGAAAAGTAGCCAGTATGCTTAATGAAAAAGTACATTTTATAAGTATTACATAGCATTAATTTGAATGGGTGTGCATCCTCTTTTATAACTCTGTCTGCAATTTTTTTATATCTGTTTAATGTATCAATGGTAATGCATGCCTATCAACTTTGATGCATAGTAATGCTTGATATGGGCATGCATTACTGGCCATAAAAGCAAAACCAGATTCACCTGCATCTCTAAATATTTTATGCAAGGCTGTATGTTATTCCGATGTGACTGGATAGGCACATATCCTATCTCAAACTTGTCTCTAGAAGTATAACCAATAACTATTATTCTTCCCCTTACAATCATATATACAACAGGAGCTTAAAGAAAAGTAGCCAGTATGCTTAATGAAAAATTACATTTTATGAGTATTACATAGCATTAATTGGAATGGGTGTGCATCCTCTTTTATAACTCTGTCTGCAATTTTTTTATCTGTTTAATTACTTTTTGAATTATTTAATGGTTTTTTTGCCATGTATATATCAGCATTTTCAAACTTCTACATGTACAATAGAGTTTGTATATGCAAGTGCAAATGTGCACAAATCTAAAAATAGGTAATGGATTTAAATGGTACTTTCCAATTATATAACATAATTATATTGATGGTATATAACTGCCTAAATGATGCTTCAAATTTATGTATATTATTCATATATTTAATTTATATTTATTATCTCTTATAAAGATATGTGGTGGAGATCAGCCATACATAAGGCCTTACCAACTTGAACTACACCACCAGCATTTGAAGAATGAATGTGAAATATTGTTTAATTACACTAGGAAAATGGGTGGTGAGGAATTCTCAAAACAGTACTGTGAAAAGCTTTTGAAAGTGAGTCTTTGTATCACACTGTTTCTCATAATTTATTTTAATTTTTTGTCATGTTTATTATTAAATTAAATTTAAGTTGATCGATATTACCATTGTAATTTTCAATAATAGTCACATGATGAATGTCAAATGCCTTTCAGATTTTCTAAAGTGCATCAATTTTCTACTTAGAATATAGTACTGTATTTCTTATCTAATGCTGTAGAAATAGGTATTTGTAAGACATTTAGTGTATGATTCTACATAACAAAGTAGTTTACTTGTTATTTCAGTCAGAGTATAAAAAAAATATTAGCTATAAATTAAACTTGGAGAAAATTTTCTTTTCAAGATTCCCGCACTAGTGCTTGAACTTTTGCAAATAGCTCTGAAAATTATTCATGATTATTGCTGAATGTGCATTTGGATTTTTAATAAAAAGTTCTCTCTGATTTAGTTTGACAGTACCTTATTCTTCACAAGAATAAGTTTGCTGTTTATTCTAAATGCAATGAGAAAAAATAATTTGTATGATATAGCCTATTTTTAATTTTGATTCCTGTTCTTTGGTGTTTGGTGGATTCATTCTGTCCATTGGGCTGTTTGAAGAGCTGATGGATAATCATATTATACCCTGGAGAACATCACAGACTGTGAATTGTTATGGATTATTTCCAGACTCTAAATAAATTTACTATGCTTGATGCTTACCCCTTCGCAAAATTGAAGAATTGATTTCACACATATCAAAATATAAAATATTTAGTACAACTGGCCTCTAAAGTGCTTATCATTAGATTCCTATTAAAGAATCTGTGGAGCACTATACAACTTCTGAAGTTGATGATAAACTATATCAGTTTCTAGGTGCTCCATTTGATGTAACAGATGGAGTTGCTTCTTCCCAGAAAACAGTTGATGAAATAATTTCCGTATCTTGATAATGTATCTATATGTGGTAAGAATGATACTGAAAATGATAATAACTTAGAGATTTGTGGCAGCTACTAAGAAATATAATCAAATGTTGAATGAGGGAAAATGCAAATTTTCCACGAAATCTGTAAAATTGTTGGGTTACTAATACAATAAAACCTGATCCTAACAGATTGAAACCACTGATGGATTTGCCATTTCCTAAAGATGTGGCATTTTTACAGTGGGGACTTCGAATATTTGCTCATTACTGTGGTTGGATTCCCAATTTTTCTTCGCCCTCTTTAAGGACCTCTTCCCCTAAGTAAAGATGCTGGAAAAGCTTTCAGTCCCCTTAAGACAGGTAATATACAAAGCTTTTTTAGCTGCAGTTGAGAATAAATCATTCAGAGGTGAAACCAAGAATTTTAAATTTGCAATCGGAGCAACCTGTGTCAGACTGGGCATCTTAGAGGTTTCTTCTCTAGAACACTAAATTCGGAATGAAAACACTCCTCTATTGAAAAAGAGGCATATGATATTGTTGAATCTTTATGAAACTGGAGACATAATGTAACTGGCAATCATTTCAAAATTTTTAAAGATCAAAGGTCAGTGGCATTTCTCTTTCATCAACAGCATTGCAGTAAAATTAAAAATGAGAAGATTATGTACTGGTGATTAGAACTTGCTTGTTTGAAGTCTGATATATATCAGACTTGAAACAAGCAAGTTCTGTAGAAAACAAATTCTGGAAGAACAAGCAAGTTCTGAAAAAACAAATTCTGTAGACACTTTATCAAGAATAAATGCAGTTGAGAAGCATCAAATAAATCTAAATGCACTACAAGATGAGCATTCTCACCTTGGAATAACTCAAATATATCATTGCATGAGATCTAAAAATTTTCTCTTTTTCTCTCGAAGAAATTAAAAGAGCTGTTAATTCATGTTGGTGGTGCAGTGAAATAAAACCTTGCTTCTGTATATCTGAAGGACAATTAAAGCAACTGCACCTTTTGAACAACTAAATATATATTTCAAATGTCCTTTTGCCTACAGTTTCCACCAGTTTCTTCTTACTGTAAATTAGTTTTCAAGATCCTCCCCCTTTGCAGTAACCTGCCGTGATATGTCCTGTGCTACTGCAAAACATTTTCTCAATTTCGTAAATCCCAGCCTACATACATACTGATAGGGGATCTCCATTTATGTCTCATGAATTAAAATCCTTATTAACTTCATTTGGTATAGCAACAAATCGCACAACTGCATATAGTCCTCGAGGAAATGGCCAAGTAGAGAGGTATAATGGAATTGTATGGAAAATCATCCAATTGGCATTAAAAATCAAAGCAAATGGCAATTGAACCTTGGAAAGGTGTTCTACAGCCTGTTTTGCATTCAATCTGGTCACTCTTATTTATAGTAACATATGTTACACCCCATTAATGTATGTTAATCCGTTCTAGAGGATCCTACATGGTTAACACAATTCAGAACAGTATTAATGCAAAACCTTACGCAATCTAATAAATTTGAGCATGTTGTCCAGGAAGTAGGAGCTCATTCAGGCTAACCTAGAATATGCTTATAGTAAAATTCCAGATCATCATGAAATCAATGTTTGTATACAACATTTGGCATCCGGAGAAGATACTCATACAATGCCCATAATATGGGTTATATGAAAATCAGCAACTTTCAGATTCTTTTGCTCAACTGAGTGAAGATTTGGCCACTGAAGCTCCTGAACCCATATCAAAAACTATAAGACAATCAGCAGAAGAGGATTCCCAAGGCAGTGATTTACTGTGCCCTAGTAGACCTGAGGTTCTTGAAGAGACTGCAAAGGATTACTTGCATGAGAATGAATCCTTGCATTCTAAAAGGCAGAGATGCCAGCCTTCTTACCTTACAGACTGTATGACTGATTAATAATCTTTGGGAGGGGTAAATGTGGTACTATTTTTGGTAGCACTAAAATTATAATACATAGAATGGTAACAGTTACTTTTTTGTTTAAATGGTGTTCTCACTTGTGTGGTAATATAGAAGCCTGCTAGTATGCTCTAGATCTCCATTTCAGTAAGATTCTGTAAATAAGATCTCCATTTTTAAAAAAAAAATTCTGTTGATTTTCATAATAATCTGTGTAGAAATGCTTAACAGTTAATCTCATACCATCTGATACTTTTTACTAAACTGATATTTTCTTTTCATTTATGTACACATACAAACATTTCGCTTTTCAGTTTGTGTGTGATCCCTAAATATGATCTGACATCTTTAATACCTCGTATATCTGTGAATTGTTTTCAGTACTGATGTCAATGTTTTGTCTATTGTTTTTTTATAATCAGTATAAAATTTTCCTAAATATAAGTACATTGACCAGGATAATGTATAAAACGTTAAATTAGGTACTTAATGCAAAAATTAATTTTTAAAAATTAAAAACTATGAAAATATGAATCTTCACATCATTTAAAACATCTTTGCAACTAGAATTATATGTCTACAACAAAGAGGTTGCAAAAATAAAGGTCGGGTAAGGACCTTTTTGGGCACAATGTATACATAGTTAAAAATGTAATCTTGCATTATTAAGTAGATTAGAAAGGAATTATGTTAATGTAGACATTATGCAAGTATTCCTACAAATTTGTGAAAGTGTATTTGATTATGTGTTATATGCAGTTGACTTCTATTTTAAGGAACTGAAATATATGAAATTTTCAATTGGATTTTGTTGCATTGATGTTAACACTAGAACTGTGGCAGTTTCGGTATACCTAAAACCGCGGGCTGGGTCAGATTGACCCCAATTAATAAAATCCTGTGTTGTTATGTAATTATTTGGCACTGAAATTTATTCATTTTTAACATTAAATTGTTATAATAAGTGATAAAAATAATAAGATATTCCAATATGGAATATTGTATATAGTTAGTAAAATATACAGACAACTTTAGTAGAAATATATACAGTCAAAAGTCGTTAATCCGGACTCGTCGGTACTTCGGCGATTCCGGATTATAGATCATCAGTTTAAATCTGGTAAGATGGCATGCAGAAATTATAAAATTAAAAATATGAAACCGTAATTTATGAAATAAAGAACAATTATGATCTAAAGGATGTCAAAATTTCAAAAAAAAAAAAAAGCTTAATATTTATTTGTTTACTTTATTAAAACATTTCTTTCAATGTAAGTTGTTTAAGTTTGCTTCGTTTTTTATTGATAATACATTCTCTTTAATTCTATAAACAGACATAATTTCTTGTTCAGTTACAAAGTTCCGCTGTTCAAGTCCTATAATTGCTGTGTCAAGAATACCGACTAATTTGTCAATCCAAATTTTTTCTTTTTCAATAACCTCTCTCACTTTCTTCCCTATCGGAAGCGAATTCTAATGACGAGGAATTTGATTTAAATCATATCAAAGACGAAGTACATCGAGATGAAATACTACATTTAGTAAGGAATTATAAGCCAAATAAAATAAAAACATCTGGCCTGAAGATAAGGATAGTGCTGACAGATCAACTTCCAGTTCATTGCGCACCGCGGCGTTAAAGATAAACAAAGTTTAGATAAACAAAGGATATGCCTTTATCCATTTTTTGCAGCAATTCCATTAGTAAATATATATCAGAAATTCTATTTGACATAATCGAAAGTTCAAGCTTACTTTTATAAAATTGCTCTAACAGTCTGCAAATAATAGTAAGCTGAATCCAATCCGAAGATTAAGGAACAATGCAATCTGCAACATTAACTGAATTAGATAATTTTAGCTTAGCTTATACTGTCCGTTATACATTAAACGAGCATTCGTAAACATATTTTGCGCACGCGCATATTCTCAGCCGTAAAGGTCTGGATTATAGATCATTCCGGATTATGGGTGTCCGAATTAACAGCTTTTGACTGTAGTTTCTTACCAATCAAGATTTCTTACACAGTTCATGCATATTTTGGCCAACTTCTTTTTATATATTTTGTACACCTTCCACATATCGGTATTTTACAATCAGAACAAGTATCTACAGTTTTGTTTCTACACTTGAAAGCTTGGCAATGAACCTTTTTTTGCATCTG